AATTAATTAATTGATCTGTTTTTCTGTGAAAAACCCAATTCCATCCAATTCATGCCTCAATAGCACTGTTTCCCAGAGTTCCCAGTATCACCCCAGTACAAAACCAGTTCAGAACCCTCTCAGTTTCTGATTCCATATACCTAGCCAAGTAACCATAGTTCAAACTAAACAGGTCAAAGCACAAATACCAATAAAGACTCTTTAAAATCACATTTTTTGGATTTGTCGGTATCGTATGAATAACAAGCATTTAATGTTTTCCTTCATTACATTCAAATTATTATCACAAGAAAACAATACCACTAGTCTAAACAGAGATTCACTGATTTGTTGTAATAAGCATTCAGGTTCAGACGGAACTCCTTTCTCATCAGCTGAGACAGGCTGCAGATCCAGATTGTATCATTAACAAAGACAGTCTCTTTGCTAGGGTATTGCATTACCTTCTGGAACAAACAGAAATGAGCATGTCACTGGTAACAAAACAAAGGACTCTGCTCACCTGTTGAAAATTGAAGCAGCACGTGTAAAATTTCTTTGTCTCCGTGATGGCATAATGAATTAACATGGAAGAAATGAGTTGTGGGGCTAAGAGGTGAACAGAAAACCAAGGATTCTCAAAACGGTAAAGTAACCACCTCCCTCTGCCAACCCTGTGCCATTATTAGGACAAGGATAAAAATGATTCAGATGTCACATTCTGATTACAGGACCTTTGATTTCATTACTCAAAAAACTCAGTTCCTGCGCAGCCCTCTTCCCTGCTCTCCTTTTCTCTTTCTGTCTCATTTGCTACTTCATAGATTCATCCCCTTTCTGCCTTGAAAATTTTATGACTGAAAAAAGGTAATTTAATCTTCATTAAACATACAGAAGCCCACTTTCTCCCCTGCCAGAGTGAATTAACTACAAGTCTTGAGGAGATGAGACAGTTTGGTTGAAATCCCATAACTCTAGCTTATATTATATCAAAGCATCTCTGCTTTTAATGGAGGCAAGTTGATCCTCTTCCAGTCATCATCAAAGAGCCCCTAATGACAATAGGAGACATCTGATGGAAGAAATTTATACAGTAATGCAGGAGAGGCAGAAAGCATTGTCTTTTAATCACTTATAAAGCTAGTAAATAAATAAGATTGGATTCTCCCACTTGAAATCTGATTAATATACCTTGGGGATGCTTTATATGAAAGACCCACTGAATATGTGGCTTGCTAAGGAGAGTAGAAATTGATTGCACACACAATCGATTACATGAGTAGCTCCCAACCCGATAGAACAGCATTTCCAGAAATAGCTCTAAGAACGATGGAAAAAGTTTGTGGTCACTGGGGGAGTTTACACACTCTACACTTAAGGAACAAAGAATCTGCCGGGGCAATCAGAGAGAATTATGAAGTAACAGAGCACGTGCTCTGTGTCTGTGACCCACGGACAGTACCTGCTCCAGTGCTTACCCCAGGAATCCTGATAATGATTTTTCTGGCTAAGAAATATGAACCGCCATGCTGCCATAAAGCATACCCATGCTGTGAACAAGGTGCACCCTGCCTGCATTCTATTCCATCTCAGTGGACTGGAATGCTTTGCCAACACATTTGTATTTAGTTTATGGCTTTAATAACCAAAAAACAAAATCAAAATGAAAACTGACTGTGGTATAGAAATTAGATCACGCTTTCCTGGGTTGGAGGCACTTGGTTGTTTATGGTTCTCTTTAGCTTAAAGCAATTACTGCCTAAGGCACCGTGCATCTGAATGGATAAGGTACCCACTTTTTAATCTCTTAGTAAATCTACCCATGTGCTGTAATAAGGGACACAGGTGTCAGGAAAACAATACATTAGTTTAGGATATTTTTTTTAAGATGACCCAGTTACATAGGTAAATATGGGGCCCAATAAATAAGATTTAGAGACCAGTTTAATGCACAGATGCACAGTGTTGTGTGAAATGCTTACAGTCACAAGTGAATTCAAATAAAATTAGGTTGATTGTGCAGTTTGTTGCCTTAATTTGTAACTTATTTCAAAACCAAGCTTTGCACTGTTTGTTTAGTTTTGAAGCCTGAAAATCAATTTGGGGTTTTCAAGTTAATACCAGACTACACTATAGAATAGGGTTTTATCTGAGATTTTCCAAAAGCTACATTCATGCTGCAATAGGATAAGTCACCATTTGCATCTGATTCCAATTACATGTGGGAACATATCTTTTATAGACGCTACATGCTGTCTTTACTTGTTGACTTTTTTAGACTGACTTTGGCCATGAAGCTTCTTTGATTGCCTGCAATTCATACTATTAAATACAGTGTGATCTATCATTTAAGGATCTTGGTAATTCAGAAAAAAGAGGAGCTCCAGAAATTTAATTTCACAACAATTCAGACTTTGATGGCAGTCTTCTGTAGCTGCATTATGTCAACCTATTGCATGAAAAGGGTTAATTGAAAAGCTACTCTAGAGGTTGCCTGCACGCTTGATATCCCATTATAACTGTCAACAATTGTGTGGTGGAATTTTTTAAAAGATGCTTTCACCTAAAGTAAACCAATAGCAAAATAACAATGCAGACATGTTTTTTCTAATACCGCCTACATGATTGATAGTAATTGGTCCAACCAGAATTGTGTGAAAGTTAGGAACATGAGGATATAAAGCACTATGAAAATCAAATCCTTACCTGCAGACCAGTGCGGATAACCAAAGGGGCATCATCACCGACATTATTCTGACCCCACAATAACATCATATATCTACTATCTTATTGAGCAAGTGGAATACTTGTTACATTTTCTCTTTTATGTAAAAAAAGAACAGAAGATTCCTCCAAGGACAGCTTTTGAAAGACATCTGAACAAGGTTCTGCCACTGAATCAACAAACTTTATTGTTTTTTCTTGTCCTTTTTGTTGCTGATGTGATTGCTTTCTTCCTATTTTAAAGCACACCTTTAAGGCATGCACTCTGCCTGGTAACCTGATCCTAATGTAGATCCTTCCATATACACAGCACATTTAATCAGTCTTGCAGTGATGGTTCATATTGCCATATTGGCATTATAAAAGCTTTTCCACCATTCACGCAAATATCACCCATTGGCCCATATATTTTAGATTGTATACCGTATATACTCTTAGCCCCACCCAAAAATAACAGTTCTTTAGACACAAACAGATTTTCTTAGAAAAAACTATTACACCCATCACAAAATCAGGATAAAGAGTTGAGAAGACAGAAGTAAAAGAAAGATGTAAACAATATTAAGAGAAAAGTGATGAATCCAGGCAAAATGGAGAAAGTGCCTAGTTTAAGATTGGCAAAGCTTTAAGATAACCATGATGAACATTCAAAAGGGGCTGCATACCATTTTAAAATCTGTGCACAGGCACTGCAGAGTGAGCAGTATATTTTACTCGGTGACTAAGCAAACTCTTGGTTGTTTGTAAAACTAAAGACAGGACAAGAAAGTCACTGTCAGAGGACACAGAGGACAGGGCAGAGGAAATCCCACCAGTGGACAGGTTCAGTACATAGGGAAGGACAGCAGTACCTGAACACACATGAATGCAATCACACTGAGGGCACCATTCTTTTCTCAGATACAAGGAAGCCATGACAGACTGTACTTAACCACACATACAGTTCCACAGATAAACACACTCACACGCACACAGCAGGCATCCCTCAGAGGGAAAGGCTGGAAAGGCAAAGAAATAACTTTCTGTCACTGTTTTTCCAAAGTAGGCCAGGGCAGAAAAGGCCGCAATCCATTAAGGGGAAGTATTTTTGGGTGCTCTGTGCAACGTTTGACATTTGCAAGCAGAATGCCAAGCTGGAAAACAAGTCAAAAATCCTCGTGCAGGAATTGATGGAGGCATGAGCCCCCCATGACGGAACATTTCCTAAAAGCAAACGCACGTGCCGGCAGTGGTGACATGCTTTAATGGTGCAGGTTTGAGAGGGTAAAAATAGTACGTAGCTGGTTAGGTATCTGAGAGGGCTGATCAACACCAAGGAAATCATACTGAGCCTTTGGTACAGGGATGAAACTAAGGAAGTGAAAATATCTGCAGTTTTCTTTTTCATGTACACAAATTAGTATTATTCAAATATCTGATATCTCATTTAAATTCATCTAGTGACTCTATATCAGTCCTGTGCTGTAAGGCTTTTCATTTTGGGCTAAATATTCAATTAAAAAAGAGTATGAAGAGCTAGATAGCACAAGGAATACTTTTGTAGTTGATTTTGCATCTGACAACAACAGGGTGGAGGGCATGATGGATTCTAGCATCATTCAAAGCCATGAGGAATGTAAGCAGCAGGCTCCAGCTGATGTTCAATATTGGGCCAACCAGCTAATGCTGCAAGGTTAACAAGAAGAGGAGATACAAGTGGGAAATCACTGCGTCTCATCTTAGGCTCACTAAAAAGTCTGTCCCAAAGGAACAAGGAGGTTTCTCAGAGGCTGGTTCCTTACATCTAGAAAAGGACAGTCCAGTCCTGGTTCTGGAGGGCAAATGTGGATACAGGTTTCTCTTCTAACACAGCTCTTAATGAGCTACCTAAACTGCCTGGTTAACAGTTTAACCAGACTGATTCATTAGCTTCTCCCAGCTCTTCAGATGGCTTCCCTGGTGAACTGAATGTTCACTCAAAGAAAGAAACAAACTGAAGGGCAGAAGTTGGCATCTTCCAAAAAAAAAACAAAGCAAAACGAAAACTAAAGAAAAGCAAACAGCAAAGGTGTGTAACACAAAAGTGAAAAGGGTGACTGTGCTGAACGGTGCATAGAATCATCATGCAAGATCTCTGTAGATCTTCGACAGAATGATGGCTGGGAGATTATCAGAGCTCAGCGTTGTGTATCCTTGGGTGCTTACACCAGCTTTTGGTTTGAATCAGGAGTCTCTATACAAGCTCTAGTGTGGGTTAGTCAGAATTTCTGCCTAGATAGAGGGGAATGGAGGTAAACAACAGAGATTTGCTTCGTTACCCTTATTGGCACCTGTCCACCATGATGTTGGACTGGAAGGGCTTTGATCACCTGTAACATTGATGAACCAAACAAAGAGAAACACATCAAGCAGGAAGCCTTTCAAAAGGGCAAAGGCAACTTGCCATTGTGAAACACTTTTGATATTGTCAATGAGAATGCCAAGTACTGGGACACTAAATAAACGCTGGCTCAGAATGAATCAGAGAAAAGGGTTTTAGACAAATACAATTTTCTACTGGATGTCAGATTTTCTTAGCAATTCAGGAAACACAAACAAAGGCAGGTTGTGAAGGAGTAGTTCTTTATCCTTGCCAGCCACTGGCAGAATTCTGTCAAGACGTGACCTGCAGGGATTCAGGAGCTCAGAGTCAGAATGTTTTCTGAAGTGTGGCATGATTCATCACTTTATTGGTATTTTCTAAAAAAGATGCACACCTTGACATACAAGGTTATACATCAGTTTTATTTTTTAAATAAAAAAAAAATACATACCTGTTTCAAAATGTTCCTTGCCTGACATTGGAATTTAGAGTTAATAGACTAAAAACAAAATCTCTGAGTGTTTTGTATTTAAGAGCTCCACGAAAATGCCACCCATGGTCCATCACAAGTGTCATTCCAGTACACAGCCACGTCTGTAATGATGTGCTTTGACATTAGCTTTTCACTGTCCTGCAGGATTTATCAGTTTGGTGTCTGACATAACATATAACAGCCTCTCACTAGGATGCAAGGTGACTCACATGCATTGCGGTCTGAAAATCTACATGGACATGGAACTGGTGTTCGGTCAAATTCGTCAGTGTCACTGTGAAGGCTGCACAAATTTCTCAAAGTGCAAGGCTGGCATCACTTTAACCAGAAGCGTCCTGTGGAACAAACTGCCCTTGTGTTCTTCCACCTCACTACCTGGATATGGACACTCTTCAGAGCAGAGGTAATAGAATAAGATGTACCGTAAGTCAATGTGTCTCTGTGGATCCACAGCATCCATTCATTACATACAATAATCTGTGGTTTAAGAATGACGATGTGACAATGAATCCTTTAGGAAGGTCACCAAGGACAGATGCATTTAATAGGTTCAAGAGTCTTCAACACAGAACTGATAAGGTTATACAGTGTATATGGTATGTCTTCTTTTTTCTAGCTGCTATTTAAATTTGAGTAGTGATTTTAAGCCTTCTCATTGCTCATTTTAATATTTAGAACAGTAGCTTAAAACATTATATTTTCAACCCTATGCCCAAGCAAACACAGTGCGCACCTAAAAGGTACTGAACAGGGAGCAGCGCTGCAGGACTTTGCGATCACTGGACCCCGTTGCCAATCACAGGATAGACCTACCGTTCCGTGGAACTCGCTTCCTCCGGTCGCGGAAAGCTGCCCCCGACTGCAGGGCCTCCATCAGGCTGTCCATCACACCGGTCTCGTCTCCTTCTGCAGGGGAACGGGTGAAAGAGATGCGTGAGCTCCCACATGAGAGTTTGGATACTCCCGGCCTCTGCACGTGGAAAAGTGGCCTTCTTCCTTCATGGGCTAACCACTACATACTGTATGTGCGTCAGGAGAAGGAGCTAATGAGAAGATGCCACATCGTAGGACACAATCAGGCCACTCAAGCTGCGCAGCCATGTTTTTGAAGCAGATATCCTGTTTTTTTTTTCAAGAAACACCTTGGATCAATAAGATACTAACTACTAAATGGACAAGGGGGGTTAAATGGCCTATTCTATTTTATAAACTTTATTATGCTCTAAGCAAACATTTTAAAGACTGTTGCTAGCGATGGCTGAAAGAGATAACTGCAGCTCCACAACCACCAAGATATGGGCCAATGGCACATGTTTCTATAGAGCTTTAAAGACAGCCACTTATTTGTACTGTGGTTGTGTATTACTATTCCTTTCAAATCATCAGAATTTAAGTGCATGACATCAAGCATTTAAGCAATACATGTACTGTGGAAAAAAAACAAAACTATTCACAGCTTGTGGTGAGTAAGTAGCAAACAATGTGCGTATAATAAACACAGACGTATCTCCACATGAAGGTGATGGGATATGTGCACTGTCACTGACGAATACCTTTTCTGGGGTTCGCGGTCAGGGAGCTAAGTGCTCCTTACTAAGATTTAGTATGGGACTTGTCGATACCTGGGTGCTCTATCATTGACTACGCTTGGAAAGTAGCAGAAAAATATGCTCTAAGCCACTGCAGCTCTTTGTTCTGTAACACTGCAGGACAAAACTAAAAAACAAAAACAAGCAAGACAGAAAAGTCCAAACTCATAACATATGGCTGCAATGGTAGGTTAAACCTATACATTAGATCACATCATACAGTATAAAGATTTCGTGACTATACGCCTGTAGTCTAAAATAAACTTTGGTCTCTATCTGGGTCAGCTATCTCCACTCTCTGCTAATGACTCACTGGCTTCTCTTTCTCACTGCATTCCAGATCATACATAAATTTAAACTACAATCATTAAGCTGAATTATGGACATTGACAACATGAGTGAGTTACAGCTCTTAAAATGTTTACAATAGGGGAAGGAGCTTCACCTAAGAATTGCCATAGAGTATCCATAGTGTAGATATGTGTTTTCAGACATTGTAATCAATCATTTATTTTCTCACACACTTAGAAGAGATGACAGCTAACAAATAGAAATTATGACCAGAACAAGCAGACAAGTCTGCCTAATTAATTTTAGGTAATGCCACTCTTTCCCTGATTAACTCAATGGCAATATATAGAGAGTTTTTTGGTTTTCACAGTGCCAGGCAGCTCCTCCTGAAATAACTCAATCCAAAACATTAAAAGAAAATAAAAATAAAGATATTAAATGTAATGCATATTGCCAAGGTCTAAAAAATGTACCTCATTAATTCTTTTAGTTGGTCTCTTATTATTCCTTAGGCACTTCCCAAGGGCTAAACTGAAATCAAAGTGGCTGTGCTGTGTACATACTGTATTTAAAAGTAACCCAGATTAAATCAAACTTAATTAGCCTTGCCGTTTAATGGCATGTAGTTGTGTTTATATATTGTGATGTGCAGTTCTATGATGATACTGAATTTGATTAACCTTCCCTGCTGCCAAATAAAAATTACATATTCCTTCTCCCATGTGACAATGGTGCGAGACAGTTCACGTCCAACTATAAACTGACTCCAAATCCCAACAGAAGCAAGGAGAGCACTTTATTTCTGATGCACACTTTCTTTCTGCAATCCAAATGGCACTACAGTATAGTTGAAATGCAGTGTGCTGACTATTTTTTAACTACCCATACTTTCATATCTCACTTGTGTATTTACTATTTTAATTCACACATGTGGTGCAATGCACTTTTAGACAGCTGTCTTTCTTTCTCCCTGGGTTTCTAGTCATCACAGGGGGCAACTGACACTTTGATCAATTTGTCCTACTTCTGGCTTAACTGTAGCACAATTCATCATCCATAATGACCAAGCCTCAGGAACTAGGTAAGTTCAGAGGGAGCATCTCAGATACAGAGCAGCTTAATTACTGAAGAGGATGCTCACTCATTGCCACTATACTACTGTGCTAGAACAGGCTTTAATTTGGACCATGTAGTGTTTTTGTTCGACAAAGCAACTATGTGAGTCAAGTGAAATGGTCACAGTGTTCTCCTGGAAAGTGTTTATATATTTGAAAAACCTCCAAATGAAGTATACATACAAACACGGAGAAGATGCATTGACTTTAACCTAAACTGTATTAATAGGTAACCGATTATGTTGAATTATTGAATTATTTTTGTATTGACTAAAACAAATCTTTGGGCTTTACCAATAGATGAACTGTTTTTGCTGTGCAGATGCCGCCATCTAGAATGTGCGAGGTGTCACTTGGTATATTGCGATAGGTACTGCATCATGGCTTTTTTACTTTTTCAAATAATCTGCAGCAGGACTGTGCTACTCTGTAAAACTCCCAGGTGGCACAGTAAATCCTTAAAGCACCGTAGCTGTGTGTGGTTGTCAGATGAATTGGTACTGTATAACCCATGAACTGCTAGGCGATTCTACAACTGTAGTACATTTTAAAATAGCAGTCTATTTGTTCCCCCAAATTTTTTAGTTTATGATAACAGTTTCTGATACAGTATATAGAAAAAGAACTAGATGCAGCTTTAAGGGAAAACAAAGTTGTGTTATTTGCTACTATCACAAATGAAAATAGTAGTTCTTAATTACGTTAAAAATACAGCACATAATTTACAAATGTGTTTGGGTCACTAAAAAACAGCCCATAAGCACTTAAGTCCATTGACCGATTTTTCTTTTGAGGTCATCTAAAAGGAATGTAGCTTAATCATCTATTAAATATGAACTCACAAAAACACATTATGTTACTACCCTTTTCTCACGAAAGTCACATTTAACATGACATTTTTAATCAATCAGAGCAAATCAGATGATAATCCTTTTTGGCAATAAAAAACATCTTAATAGATGTAATTAAAATACTATTTTAGACATATACATGAGAGTAACATTCCTGACAACAGTAATAATTGATTTAAAATTAATTAATATAATTGATTTTAAAAATAAAGGTACCTTTGAACTTAATTAATAATTTTCTGCTTATTAAAAATAAAGCTATATAAATACATTGAATTTTATATTTATACATTAATATTCTTAATAATGTGAAATGTTAATATTTTTAATTTATTTTGATTTTCAGCTACTTAAATTCCCCTTTACTGACATGATCCCATATTAAGTGGATTTAAAGAAGTAGGCTTCCAGTACATAAATGTTACAGTACTGTACCATACGTAGTGGTCTAATACGAGAGCTCTGTTCATGGCATTTAATTCCCCTTTTCAGGAAGAAAACTGTACAGCCATGATACTGTACATTTTAAAACAGTAGCTAGGCTAGATATTTTCTATCTTTATATACTGTAACATATATAATGTTATATTTTTAAGAAATATGATCATTAGACTAAAAAAACAATACTGTTGCAGTAAAAGCTAATGCAACACATGTGCCACCTATCTGTTTTCTGTGACCAGTGAAGGGCTGGATTCAGTATGCAGGAGCAGACTAGTATACAACAGTTTGTTTTCCACTAACACCAGTTTTGATGCACATTCTAGATAGCTGCTTCTGTAACTCAAACTAAGCCACTCAAGTTTACATCTTCCCTTTATGACACCTTTGCCTGTGTCCCTTTGAGCAGTACAAAACATGCATTAATTGTTATGTCTCGGTCTGTGGGAAACATAGATTAGATGTATGTGAATTGCAAAGAGGTAACCTTTGTTTCTTAATGTTTCTGATTTTTTTCAGAAAGACAATTACATGCACCGGAAATTGCCTCCCAGATGAGTTAGGTAGGGTTGAGACCTGCAAAATCTTCTGAACCTCATGCAATATTACATCTTCACAAGCTGCAACTAACAGCCCTTAGCTTATTAATGACTTCATTATGCAGTAAAGAACAATTCTTTATTTTACACCTAAAGGCTTTCCTTTGGTGAGAAAGTGTCTGCAGAGCCTCGTTCACTGTGAACCTTTGCGCCTGTTACTCTGATCTTCGCATCGGGGCCTGTATCATGTAGCACTTCTTGCTGGTGCCCTGGGCTGCTGAATGCACCAATAAGCTCTGGAGTCTGACTCCTTTCCTCATTCGTGTTATAGTATATTGACGTGTGCTCTGTCACATTTTTAATTAAGGGATAACAAGTACAGCTATCTTACGGATTTGTGAATTCGCACTAGAGATTAGCTTCAAGACAAGGTAATTGGCAGCAGGTAGGTGCTTATTACAGTATGTGTAGCACAAGAGTATCTGCATTGGAGAAGAGAGTCAAGGGCTGTGATTTCTGTGTAAGAAAAGATGGATGTCAATTTGAAAGAAATACAGAATTTTCCTCTGCAATATCCAGCCATCCACAAGCAGACGTTGAAAGGAGAAAGGTGTTTGCAGTTTTTTAGATATTTGACTTTGTCAGTCTGACAACAAGTAATTCAAACATCAGTCAAACATCCACATAAGTACAAGTGCACACAGAATGTGCTTATCAACAATGCATCTACTAAATATCTGGCAACATTTATATTGATGTCTAAGTATTTATAACTGAACTGCAAGGTAGAGCCACACTTTTGAATAACTCAAGAATACAATTTGAATTGTGAATTTTGTAACCAATGAAGTAGCTAATAAACCAACAGGAACATGGACAAAATGAATAAAAAAGTTATACGTATTATAAAATTATTATTCTTGACCTCTGACTTACATAACAATACCATTGAAATATACTTTTTAACTCAAAAGTAAAACATATTCAGGGTAACATCTAAATAGCACAGACGCACTTTTGTGCTAAGCGAGTATAGAGACAGATAAACTTTGACTTTAATGCTGCATTGGTGCCACTTAA